CTTATTGTCCATTTTAACAGCGTGTTCCTAATCAGGAACAGGGCTCATTACTGAATATAATGTGTTTTAATACATAAAGCCCTATGCAGAATTTAGCATACAACAGATTGATAGCATTGTGTATAGCAAAGGGTAATCTTGTCCCTATTTTAGTTAATAGTCCCTCTGAAAGAAGATGGATAAATTATTATGATTCAGTCTCTAGATTGAAAAACTATTACTACCAAGGCAGTACAAGTAATTTTAAACTAAATAAAGCTCAGAAAGCTTAATTATGTGAAGGTAAATTGCCAACACTTTCTCTTATTCATTTTCCATTTCAATAAAATTTTTCAATAGGCATACAAACCCTCAACCTAAGTACTCATGAAATAATACAAAAATGACCATTAAAAGGTTAGAAGAACCATATACATTTTTTCTTGTTCTTGTTTTCATGCTCATGTCAATTAAGTGATTATTTTTGTAAGGCTAAAATAGAAGTACAGCCTTGTTACATATATACATTCTTCCTATTTAAATTATAGACTAAAGCTATATAATGTATGACTTACATCTGATGTACTAAAGTTTTAATTTGCCATCACCGAGAAAAAATAAAAATAAAATTTTATAGATATGTATTTTTTCTGCAATCAAACCTAGGATCTTGGACAAAGGAAGTTGAACTACGATCTTCAAAAAATTAAGGTCTTCATTCAGCAATTCTATAAGAGCAAAAATAAAATAGGCTTGCACAATCCAACTTGTAATTTAATTATAATCTTGAATCTGTTTCTTCAATAACAATATCTGCAGTTATCAAAATTTCACAGAAATCTAATGGCAAAGATAGTGGGATTTGCAGATGTTTGGGAGAAATGGATAAAGGAACAAAACTGCAATGCTGATGAATTTATTCCAATGTCATTTAGGGCAAGAATTTCCAATGATGCTCTGAAAACAAACAAACAAAAATGCTACTCATCCAGTGTCCTTGGAGGGAAGAAACAGAGATATGGGAGATGGAGCATTTTTGCAATTCTTGGTTGCTAGTAGAAAAAAAAAAGGCTTCATACGCAAATTTCATCCTTGCAATTCTGTACTGCTTGAAAAAAAAGTAGGGAGTGCATTATACACACTAAACTAATTAATTTATAAACTTATCCTATGTTCACATCTACCCACATACTGTAAATTGTATGTCACTGCATCAATGTCACTGCAAGGTGACTAGAATGGAGCTCCTCAGGAAGCAAACTTTTTTTAATACATTAGTCATAGCTATTTGGGAATGCATAATGTAGTCATAGTATGTAAGTTATATAACATCACTAGTAACATTAGGAATTCTGGTCATGTAGGACAAGTGAACTAAAAGTGTTCCTACCAAGAAGCAAATTGTTGAGGAAGTTGTAAACAGAGGTCCAAAGAGTAAAATGTACTTTAGCCCAGTATTCACAGAGAGGAAAGAAACTAAGAGATTTCTTTTTGCTTTTCTATTTCTCTGGATTGAAAAGCTCTTGTACTGTCCCCTAAATGTGCGCTTCCTTCAGGAAGAAGGGAATATTTTTGATTCTCTCCCCTTTCTTCCACTTAATAACTTTGTTCCAAGATCACTAAAACCTGGCTGGAAAAAGTTTTACCAAAATCCCCTGGGATCTATTTACAAGTTAATAAGTTTACAATAAGGATTGTGTATAATTGATTAACTGTTTTAAAAATTAACCTGCTTCTCAGCACTAAAAATATACTTTTCCTTTCAGAAAAGCGGAGGTGGGTTACCAATAAGATTTGTAGCACAGTGAGAATCAAGAGTTTGAGAGCTTCTCTGAGAGAAGAACTAGAAAATCACTGGAGAAATGAGGTGCTAGGTGACTGGACAAATGTGTTACAGGCAAAGGAGCAAAGAGAGCCATCTGCTAGTTGTCATGGCTACCAAACATCATTTTTTCTAAGCAGTCTTCATTTCATAAGATTTTACTTTAATTTTAAATCATCTTATTGGAGAAAGAGTATGTTGATTATTTGGACAGGATACAAAATTTCAGAGAGCATGAGTTATAGTACATACATAAAATCAAGCCAGCCATATGAATTATGAGGTATAAACATGGTTCATGAATACATGCATAAAATCCTGTCAGGAAAAAAAACTATGGCAAACAAATATGCGAATAGTTTCCAAGATAAGGGCAAGGATTCTTTTTAGGACAGCTGAATTCCTAGGGACTCTACACACATGTCCATTAAGTTTTCCTGGTAGCTATATGCAAGTGTTCTGCCATTGCCTTCTTCCAGAAAGCCGTTTGATACCCCAATCTACCTTTCTGGCTTCCTATTTCCTAGTATTTCCTGTACAAATATTAAGCAGGCCCAACATTGCTTAAGTCTCTTAAGACTATGTCACAAATTTTCCTGGTTTTCATGTTCCTGGAAGATTAAATTAGTTTTTGCACTAATGTAGAATCTCAAAAGTACTTTCTTCTTCAAAAGACAACTAGATTGTTTTTTTCCTTGAGGAAGAAGATGAAAACATTTCACTTCTCATCCAAGAATTCTAATCAATTCTGATGGGAGGGATGGAAGGATAGATACTGATAGGATATGGGGGTGGAAGGATTGTATTCAGTGGAGGGATTCAGCTGGTTCGCACCATTTCTGCAGAACCGGTAGCTAATATTTTGTTGCCCAGGCCCAGAATGGTCTTCCGGAAGCGGCATCCACACAGAGAACCAGTTGTTCACATATTTGAATCCCACCACTGATTGTATTTATTTGCAGTCATCTGGTCATTAGCCCTCTCTGAGAGCCCCCACCATCCAGTCTCAACTGTCAGTACCTATATTTCCATGAAGCTTCTTGGATGAGAAACGAAACCACTTCCTCCTCCTCCTCCTCCTCCTCCTCCTCCTCCTCTTCTTCTTCTTCTTCTTCTTCTTCTTCTTCTTCTTCTTCTTCTTCTTCTTCTTCTTCTTCTTCTTCTTCTTCTTCTTCTTCTTCTTCCTCTTCTTCTTCTACTTCTTCTTCTTCTTGGAAAAAACAGACCTTAGATATATGAAAATCTTTAGAATGGTAAAGAAATGTGTATATTTCTAGTTGTCAGCCATACAATCACCATCCTCTGCTTTTTAATATCTATTTGTTTTCTGTAATTCAAGTTTTTTTCTCATTAATTTGCATTGAACACAAAAATATCTATGGCATTTATGGAAAAGAATCCCTATGCAGGAAAAACAAATGTGTAATTAACCTCTTGCCTGATAGAGTCACCCTCTTCAAATCCAGATGAACTGCAGCTTCGCCTAGCTTTATTCCAACAAGCAGCAGCTGTTGAATAATTTGGCCTGAAGTCTGCTGGCTTTTCATCAAAAAGCTTTTCTGAGTCACCAGCTGACCTGGCCTCAAAGAAAAGGCCCTTTCCATTTTCATTTTCATACAGATGAATATTGTCTTTCAAGATTTTCTCTCCCTCAACCAAAAATATTTCTATTTTTGTATGTTATGATTTCTTGAACTTATAGCTCTATGTTTCCCACTCAATTCCTACAAAGCCATTATTTTTGCAGACTTTTCTATCCTGAAGTTGACAAACATGAATAGAGAAGCAAAACTTGGGCAGAGCAGAAAAGGCAAAAGATAATCCCTACTTCTTTCCTTTCCTTTCTCTCCTTTCCCCAACCCAGATGAGATATTTTCCTGTTGCAATTCATCCCCATACTTTGTTTAAAAATGCTGGGTGGGAAAAATGTTCCACTTTTCTTTGCTCCCTTCTACTCTGTGATCCATCCCTGGCAAGTTGCTCAGTTGCCTGGAGGCTCTGGTGTTATTAAGCAACTACAATGGGTGGCCCATTGGATCATAGTCTCCTACTGGGATTAAGTTTTATTGTTTACTGTTTGTTTACTGAAAACAGCTTTATTACACCTAAGTCAGTCAATCTGGTTTCCAAAGAGGCTTGTTGTCCAACTTGCACCATTATGAAGACGTCCTTGACCTGTTCATGGAAAAAGCCTATAAAGCAACTGTTACATGAATGCAGGGAGAAGACTGTCAGGCCTGTTTTTTTTGTCAACAAGCAATTAATACGATGTGCTTTTCCCATGTCTGAGCAGGTGCTGTACAACAAAACCCAATCTCCCCAGAGTGGTGGTATCACCATGCAAGGATGTAAGGGGAGGGCTTGTAGAGTGATATTGTTGTGGTGTGGGGCTTGATATAACTTGTTGGGCTCTACAGTAGACCTCTGGAGGGGGAAGGAATGAATATTTTCATTATTTTTCATTACAATTCCTTCTATTCCTCCTCCTCTCCCATCCAGGAGGCTAATAGCACATTTCATGGTTTTCATTTTATGGGGCCTCCATTGTTTTTATTGTTTTATGCACTGCTCAGAGATGGCGTTACAATACGGGCAGCTATGTACATCTTTAAAATAAATAAATAATAATACATGTGATGGGTTTGCCCAGAAAAATGATGTTAGGCAATACGTTAAGCACCATTCCCTTGCCAATATACTTAGTCGAATGAGTCTGACTAAATATGAGTAGAGTGGGTCAACTGTAACTAGAAACTCTTATATTCTGCTTTGATCTTTCTAGATAGCACAGGAAGATCTGAAAGGGGTTCATATGAGCATTCATCTGAAGGTTTGTTAAAGGATCCAGGGAACTTGGAATCCAGATAAAACAATCCCACTCAAACCTTTTGTTTATATAGGAAAGTGGGCCAAGCGGGCAAAATCCTGCAACTGTGTGTGCATCCCATGGGGATGAAATTGATGCAGGCATTCCATAAACTGGCATATCTTGTCATTCTCTGTTCAAGGATAATATATGAAAAGGACTATTTATTACTGATCAATCAGTTCATAGCAATTCTCTCAGATCTAGCTGAATTAGATGTTCAGCTTGATCTATTTGCAGTTGCCTAATCAAGTCAGAATAACTGTCATGCATTTCTCTCTACCCACCCACCCTTATTTCCTCCCGCACCCTCAAATCAAAAAGGTTAAGGAGATGAAGACCAACACGGCTTCTGAAATAATAAGACTTCTGGAGGAGAGAAGTATTCATGTCTTTGAAAATCACAGTGAGCCATCACTGAACATCTCCGACTGCATGACAATTGTTGTGCCAGAGGAAGTCTTCTTCACCATTGCTACAGTAGGAATCCTGGAGAACCTGCTGGTGCTCATTGCAGTAGGGAGGAATAAGAATCTGCATTCCCCCATGTACATTTTCATTTGCAGCTTAGCTGTTTCAGACATGTTAGGAAGTTTGTCCAAGACTCTGGAGAATATCTTCTATATCATATTTTGCAAAATGAGATACCTTCCATGTCGTGGAAAGATGGCAACAACTCTGGATGATATTATAGATTTCATGTTTATTTTATCTTTACTGGGATCGATTTTCAGCCTTTCAGCCATTGCCGCTGACAGATATATAACGATATTCTATGCACTGCGTTACCATAACATCATGACTCAAAGGCGGGCTTTGCTGATTTTGCTGGTGATTTGGGCTTTCTGTGCAGGGAGTGGCATAGCAATGGTGATTTTCTCCCATGAGACTGCAACTATTGTATCTTTCTCAGCTCTGTTTTATTTCATGCTCATTTTTATCCTCTGCCTTTACATCCATATGTTTCTGCTTGCCCGTTCCCATGCCATAAAGATTGCCTTGATGCCTGCAAGTTCTGTCCACCAGAGAGCTAGCATGAAAGGAGCCATTACGTTAACAGTGTTACTTGGTGTTTTTCTCTGCTGCTGGGCTCCCTTTGTTCTTCACATGCTTCTGATACGGTTTTGCCCCGAAAACCCTTACTGTGTTTGCTATTTGTCCATCTTCCATGTCAATGGTATGTTAATCATGTTCAATGCTGTCATTGATCCCATGATTTATGCATTTCGAAGTCCAGAACTGAGAAGTACTTTTAAAAGATTGTTCTGCTGCTGGCAGCCAAGCTGGACTTAGCTACTAGAAATTCAAAACTCCAGTGAGCAAGTTATCATGTAGGATCTCAAGGATTCTAAAGCAGGAGTCTCCAACCTTGGCAGCTTTAAGACTTGTGGACTTAAACTCCTAGAATATGCATACGCTGGCTGGGGAATTCTAGGAGTTGACGTCCACAAGTCTTAAAGTTGCCAAGGTTGGAGACCCCTGTTCTAAAGGATTTAAACATGTCAATTATCAATGCAGCTCCCCCAAGCTTAGCATCAGTAATTAGACTGCCATCAGATATAGGCCTCACTCAGATCTTTGTACATAGATAATGAAATTCCTTAGAATTTGCCAAAGGAATCTGGCAGTATTAGGGCATTACAACTGAAGTTGCTATATTATTTACTGCTGATCAATGCATATGTTTTCTGTAACCAATTAAGACATTCTTTGAGCTAATGCACATATTTATCCTTTATTCTTTCCACCTAGTAATAGAATTTTGCTCAAATCTGTACATGGCACTATATGCTGCAGCTGTTAAACAAGAATCAGATTGTAAAATATGTTTTTGTTCCCCTTTGCTTTAGGTTCCATCTTCCTCTTATAAAAACAATGTGTATCAATGATTTGCAGAATCAAAGAAAGTAGCTTCAATACTGCTAAAGAATAGCCAGGTTTCAGACCCATAGAGCATGTTATAATCTAGGATTAACATTCAGGAAACATAAGAAATATCTCCAAAACATAAGACCAACAGTCATGACTAATATATTTAACCCCCATGTACAAAGGCATCCCCTCCCTCTGTACCAATTTCTTGGGAACACATTGGGATATGTTACTACAGTCAAGACCTGGGTGATATGCCATAGATACCTGAGAGGTCATTAAGGAAACAAGTCAATGGACTAAATAAATTTGTTATCCCACATAATGATGCTTTTCCATAAAGAGGTGGCTATAAGGTGACATACATTATCTGTGCTGTGTTTTTTTTTAAAAGAAATTAACACCTTAATTATTATCTGACTCTGACCCAAATATTGTTGTTGTTGTTGTTGTTGTAGTCGTCATTTCATCTCATTATCGTCATCACCCTCATCACACTATTTGTGTTATCTCTTATTTAAAATATCACAGCTTTGATAAGAAGAATATTACAATGGACAAAATGGTCAATAAATAACATCAATAAAATTGTTATCAATTAATAAAACAAATTTCACACTTTCTATAATATTTGTTACTTCTTAGATGAACTATAAGTATCACAAAATATTTTACAAACTACCCACTATATTCATCTTAGATATCTGGAACAAAAGAATTCAAGCAGAAGCAAAGAAAATGTGCCCAGATAAAAATGTTCTTGGTTATTTCAGGTTAACTTAATATTTCTCATCCAAACTGCTTCTTGTGCTGAGATCCACAAAGGTGTTTTCAGGCGCAACCTGAGTTGGTATTTATTCCATATTCTCAATATGATACATCTAACATAATGATTTTTAAAATCCACCTTAACCTTGACTTTATCATACCATAATTATACATGCCATCCAAATCTCAGGTCATATCCTTCTAACTCCAAAAGCCTTCTGTTTCTCAGCAGTAGCTATTCTTTCATCCATGGATAATACAACCCTTGAGTTGATTTCTTATAAACAGCATCTAGAGGCTGAAGCTGTTGGCAAGGGGCAATAGAAAAGTGTTCATTTAAAAAAATCTATTGTCCATCATATTCTCCAAAGCTATTCTCCAAAGCGCCTGAAGGTAGGACAAGAAGCAATGGATGGAAACTAATCAAGGAGAGAAGTAACCTAGAACTGAGGAGAAACTTCCTGACAGTTAGATCAATTAACCAATGGAACAACCTGCCTCCAGAAGCGGTGAATGCTCCAACACTGGAGGTTTTTAAGAAGAGACGGGACAGCTATTTGTCCGAAATAGTGTAGGGTTTCCTGCCTGAGCAGGGGGTTGGACTAGATGACCTCCAAGGTCCCTTCCAACATCATCATCATCATCATCATCATCATCATCATCATCATCATCATCATCATCATTATTATTATTATTATTATTATTATTATTATTATTATTATTATTATTATTATTATTATATTTTAGCAATACATATGTATCTAACTGTTACTTGAAGGTGAGACCAGATGCAGCAGAAATAAAATCAAACAGCTGTAAGTTCTGTATTATAAAATTCTTTTAACTGTATCTGAAGATGAAAAAGTACAATAACAGAAAGGTCACGAAACTGCTATTGACTTTCTTGCAGATTATGGGCTATGAAAGTATTTACTAAATTGCTATCAGGCCATTTAGTACAGTGCACATCAGAAATTACTTTTCTAGCACCATATAGTATAAATTTTCACAGAGCATGGACAGCAATTCATTATGACAACATCCAGTTTGTACCTCAAAATTCAGGCATTATTCCTTTATGTACCATGACCATCATTTGTGAAGTTCTTCAGCATGACTGTGCCTCATAGACTGCATAATTAAATTGTCTCTACACAGAGTTCTGGAAATTCTCATTATGTACTATTGAAAGTAATTAACCTCTGCCTGCTTTGAAGCAGAAGTACACCAATCAAAGTAATTAATCAATTGGCAAACATTTCAATTAGTTAAATGTAAGCACCCATTGTGGGAAAACATCTGCTGGATTTGGTAGAGGTGTATGCATCCAAATGCTTATGTACGATGGACTACTACTCTGTATTGCTCTCTTGTGATAAATATATTCTTTTAGTTGCTCTTGCCTGGGTTCATCTGGGGACAAAATGAAAGATTTATATTGGCTGAGCCAAAAAGAAATGTAAAAACAGGAAAGAGAACAGAATCTTGTAAAAAGAGGAGTACTGCACATGTAAGATAGAGGGCACTGTATAAGAGAAAGCTCTTATACAGCTTTTTGGGGAAAGTGAGAGTACTGAGACTAGAAAGGAACGCTATTGGTTGAGTTTTAGGAATTGGTATTTTCAATCTATTTAGAATTTCCCTCTCCAAAGTAATAGGTCATTAATCTTTTATTATACTCATCCAATAAAAAATAGTTTATCCAATTGTGAGTAGTAATTCAAAATCTATTATATTGATTTGGAGGTAAAAATTAAATTTAGAATAAATTACTGTCTACACTCAATGAAAATCCATTCCTAATAGTTTCGGGAATTTTTTATTCAAAAAATATTCTGTATTAAATAAACACACCTTTATCAAAAGACAACTTTCCACCACAGGGAAATACACTTCTTTGTGAGACCAAATTTTATTTTAATTCCAAGAGTTCTGTCACATAAACGTATAAAGTATAATGAGGTAATGGCTCCTAACTAAGGAATTATATATCCATGAGTAATATTGAGATTTTGAAGGTTTTGAGCAAAGAATTTTTCCAAGCTGATAGGCTAACAATGTCCAATTTGAATAGTTTTGTTGAGTTCATATGGCTCAAAAGTTGTTCTCCAAACCAATTAAAAAAGCAGTCCCTTTTCTTGTCTTTCCTTCAAATGATGGCCTAGATGTTAAAGCTGGTGGATCCTACTGGAGTGAGTTTTTTTAATGCCAAAAGAGCTAGTTATCTTGCGTTTCATTGAACCATTAATGTCAAATGTCCTGATAAGCTTTACTATGATGACACTTTCTAGGTACAATTTTAGCTGAATGAGATTTACTTTCTATTATAGTGTCCTGAAAATTATGTTGCAAATTGGAGGTAATCGCTGAACTAACATTATCTGAAATCATCGGGTCAATATTCCTACAATGAAGTTATCTTTAGCACTTTTCTTCCCTTCCTTGCTTGGATTGATTTGGATATGTTATTTAAAAAAATATGTATTTAATCACGTCATCAAGGTCTAAATGAATGAAACCTGTGAAACCTCCTTAAACTCTTCCAATTAATCTTACCAAGATATTTCATGGAAATCATCACTATATTTTTCTTTCAAAACTCTGAACAGTATTCAAACACAGTATGTCATCTATTGAGAATAAGCTATGTCAATATTAGCAATTGGTATGACAGCAGTACTTTTTTAAATTCACATGATTGTCCTATTCCCTGTAAACCATCAACAGAGAAGTACAGTACTATTTTTTCACAGATTTGACTTCTATAATAATAACTACATAAAATAGTGCAGAATGAGAAGATTTTCAGTAATTGGAAGGAGCTAACATTTATAGATCAATGCACTAATGACGTTTTTGCTAGCATCTGCTTTGCTCCATATTCTATTTTTTTTTCTTTTTGTCCTTTAACTTTTTTAAAAATGGGGAACGCTGCATAGTCAATGCCAGCTTTAGGTTTCTGGGTACTGCACGATTTCTTAGGAAATCAACATGTTTTCAAGCCAATGCTTTGTTTAGAAGGGTCCCCATCTATTCCAGAAAAATGGCAGGAGCCAATGTGGATTGTAGAGACCATCCTGTCTCTCTACAAGAGAAAGAGTGATACAGTAAAACATCACTAGCTTGCCTATTAGAAAATGGATGTTTTGTGAAAGACCATATCAAACAAGATGCTCTTTTTCGCAGAGTGCCCATAATGTTCTATCAAATTTCCAAATGGGCAAAAGGCTGCAGAAACTAATGCTTCAGAGAGGCTGATATTGTTTATATTGGTAAAGTTATTAAGTAGTATTCATATGAAATAAAATGAGAAGACTTATACCAGTGGTTCTCAACCTGTGGGTAGGGACCCCATTTGGGGTCGATCGACCATTTCATGGGAGTCGCCAAGCAAGGCTGTCCGCCATTTTTTCCCCTTTTCCGGCGGGTGCCTTACCTCCCTTGGGCTGGGCCAGCTGGTGGTCGGCCTGCTCCGTCTCTGCCGCTTGCCAGCTACGCCTCGGCCGGCGCAGGGGGCGGAACCACGCATGTGCGGCGCTCCTGGGCAGGGAAAGTCCTCGACTTACGACCGGTTGGGTAGTCCTCGACTTACGACCGGTTTAGTCCTCGACTTACGACCGGTTTAGTCCTCGACTTACGACCGGTTTAGTCCT